GGCAGGTAAGGACTCCCTGGAATGCAGAAAGGAATGAGATTGTTCACAGGTGGAGCAAGAGTACAGAAGAAAACAAAACAGATGGCATTCAAGCCATTTGTCTGCTTGACAAATCTCATAAAGGTTGTTCTGATAATGATCTCATCATGCTTGCCCTAATGAACATACAAAATTCAGTAATCAGTAGGCTCACATGAGAACTTCATGTACTCATACCCAGTAAAATATCTATCTCCCTGTTAGCATAAACTTAGCTTCTGCTGATTTGGGTTTCACCCTTGCTGAAATGTGTTCCGAAGTGTTTTCATAATATCACACATGGTGCCCTAGCCTACAGCTGAAAAAACACCCATGGATTCCAGAGGTCATCTGGTGACAAGTGCCATGGCACCACACCATCAGATGGCAAGGACTCCTCACACCTCAGGCTTCTACTAACATGGTGCAATACCTACAAAGGAGAGAAATTTCCAGCCTCCTGCCACTTGCTCTCCTCCAAGATCCCACTGATTCCACAACAAGAAGAAAGAGATCTTTATGTCTCCTTTTGCTCTGGATATCAGCACACCAGGGTCCTTTCACTCAGCCCTTGGCCATCACACTGCTGTAAGCTGCAAATGAGAATACCTACTGGTGGCCTCATTTTATCCCAGTTGGCCATCATCAGATCTAACACTATCAGGCCTAGAATTCATATGACTGATTAATCAGAGAGCTCAGTTCCCACACAATCCATTACCCCAAATTTCCTCCATATCAACTACTCTGACCCATTTCCCCAACCATTTTCTATACCCAAAACGTACTGTGCCCTCTTTACCATCACCTGTGACCATCTTCGCCATGAATTGTACTATAAGTTGGAATCCTAACACCATGATACTGTTTAGAAATACATTTATTTAGATATAACAGATGTTTCAGATATTAACTTGAATGAGGTCATATTGAAGTAGGATGCCCCTCTAATCTAACATGACTGGTGTCCTTAATTTTAAAAGGGCAGATTTAGACACAGGCACATGCATACAAAGGGGATGCCATGTGTTGACTAGAGGTATGCTCTTACAAGCCAAAGAACTACTACAAGCTAGGAGAGAGGCCTACAACAGGAATATAATACTTCCAGCACCATTAGTTTGGACGTTGGATGCCTCAAATGATGAGACAACAAGTTTCTGTTGTTGTGAGCCACTGGAGTGTGGAACTCTGTTATGTGTCCCCTGCAACTATTACAGAACTTCCCCCAAAGACTCCTTCCTCATGGCAACACACTCAACGATCTTCATACATAAAGGGTTTTTTCTCATGCTCCTCTGTACTGCAAAGCCTGGAGATGAAAGATGTCTACCTGGATCCCACTGTTCCCTCCAAACTGTTTCTTCTCTCCATCTTTCCAAGCTTACTCTATCCTCTGCTTTCTCTGTTTACTCCCTTCTCTGCCCCCTACTTGCTACTGTCATCTACAACTCTTCTTCTGCTCTCACCACTTGTTCCAGATTATTGCCTGTAGTCCACCCTACACCTTCTTGTCAAAACATTTAGTGACAACAACACTCCAATATCTCGATTCCCTACTTCCTTGTGTCCAGAGATTATTTCCCTCTTTCCAGTCCAGGCTTCTAGTCCATCTTATTATTATCACTATCAGTGTTGTTTCTTTCAACAGCGAAGACTCAAGTTTCTTAATTTGAACACTAGGCTCTAGCTTTTCAAGCTCATTCTTCTTCTTTAAATCTATATCCATGACATTCTCTACTTCCAGTTGTATGGACTTCCAACCCACTAAAAAGTAGCCAACACCCTACTCTTCTTCCCAATGTTTCAGCTCATGTCTTTCCTCCTTTTCTTATCTGGTTCAAATTTCATTGATCTTTAATCAGAATGGCTCTTTTGAACACACCCTTCATACTCTACATATACTCAACATACTTATTTGACATTCAATACCAGTAACACCTAACAATATACGTATTCTAAATCTCTGTGTCTGAAAAACTGAATTTGCCAACATAAAATGCATAATTGCATTGTTATAGTTATGGCTTCCTTTAAAGTTATGATTGCCAAACTCTTTTTACCAAATGCATTCACTATAGGCCATCTATTCTCACTGTTACATTCTCTTATTGCTCAGAGAGTCAAACTTTGGGATTCTTCTCATTTTTTAATCATTTTTCTATGATTTATTTATGATAATGATATTCAGATAATTGATTTACTTAGTTCTACAGCATGTCAGTCTCTTAACTTCCCTAATTTCAGTTGATATTGCCTTCCCCCTACATCAAATACATACCTATTGGTTATGTCTGGAATAATATTTCTAACATCAGCAACATCAATTTTAAGTGTCCTTTTTGTAACCCCCACCTCCTGTCTTCCAGTTCACTCTCTTTCACCCATATTTCAAAATTCTCTGAAGCTTATAGGACATTCATTCCCCAGATCATATCATCTACTTTTCTAAAACTCCATCTTTTCTTCCTATTAAATTTAGACCCCTAATTTCATCATCTAAGTTGCTCCTTCCATATATCCTCAGTTACCTGCTTCCTTTGTAGCTGATAAGCAAACACCCACCTTCTTTAATCCTACTCTAATGTCAACTACATGTCTGTCACTGAGTGTCTAAGTGTGACTGGAGGAAAAATCCAGAACATTTCTAACCTTAACCCTCAAAAGAGCAAATACTACCTAGCAATAGTGTCCATTCCTCTCATATTCTCTCTCATAATTGGCCATTGTGCTATAGAACACTGAAGATATTCCTCCAATACAATTGCTCTCCTGTTAACCCTCCACTACCCCACTGCTGGGGATATCTTTCTGTATACTGTGAATGTGTTGCTCTGATTGATTGATAAGTAATACGTTGATTGGCTTGTAGCCAGGCAGGAAGTACAGTATAGGTGGGACAAACAGAGAAGAGAATTCTAGGAAGTGGAAGGCTGAGTCAGGAGACACTGCTAGCTGCCGCCATGAGAAATAAGAGGTAAGTACCAGTAAGCCACAAGCCACATGGGAACTTATAAATTAATAGAAATTGGTTAATTTAAGATATAAGAACTAGATAACAAGAAGCCTGAGCCATTAGGCCAAACAGTTTAAATAATATAAGCGTCTGTGTGTTTATCTGGGTCTGAGTGGGTGCGGGCCCAGGCGGGACTGGAGATAACTCCAGCCACACCCCTCCATCACTCACATTTCCCTAAGCCACTTCTAACCACTGTTTTATTATCCACTTCTGACAGCAAATGTTTTAGGTGCCACATATAAGGATATTCACAATTTTTTCAAATACTCCTTTTATATCTTTTCCCCAAACCTCCAAACTAGGCTCCATACTTATTCTAAATTAAAAGATTTACCTCTTGTTTTTCCTAATAAAATAGGAGTATTTAGGAGATAGTTCCTATATCTTCCACATACCAAGCTTACCTCCATATATATCTATGGTATACCCTCCACCTCCCTTCTTGTGCAGTGAATGAACTGACGTACTCCTATCAAATGCCAACCCTGTTCTTAACATCTGTATTTATTCTGTTCCATCGATTTAAAGATTTTGCTCATACAGGCATCTCTTCTTTTTATTGCAATATCATATTTGATCATCACAAAGCTATGTTCCAATCCCTCCCACTCACTTTGAAAATACTCTTCCTGACCTCCATCTTTTTCCAGCACCTGGCATGTTTCTCACTAGCAGCACAGTCCCTATAAAGAAATGCTCAGAGGAATTACCTTGGCCTTCTTAACTTCTCAGGTAGGATGGCCATGCACCATTGCTGTATCCCCATACTACTCCAACACACACTAATAGTAAGCATAGACTGTGGATGTAACCAACCGTCTTATTAAATAAGAAACACAGAGTCAATACAGAGATGAAAGCCAAGAGGTCAGAGCAATAGCTAAGAGCTAAAAACCTTACCCTTCACTGTTGCTGTACCTTTCCAAAAGAGAGCTACTTCCTGTGTCTGTCTTTTTTTATAGAGTTTCTGTTCTGCCTTCTCATTGGTTGTAAACCCAACCACATGACCTCCTAGTCACTGCCTGTCTGTATAGACCTCCAGGTCTCTGTGGTTGGTATTGAGATTAAAGGTGTGTGTCTCCAATGCTGGCTGTATCCTTGAACACACAGAGATCTACCTAGCTCTACCTACCAAGTGCTGGGATTAAAGGCATGCACCACCACTGCCCAGCTTTTGCTATGGCTTGCTAATAGCTATGACCCCTGGGCAACTTTATTTATTAACATACAAATCACATTTCAGTACAAATAAAATATCATTAAAATAGACAATCATGTCCTTTTGGAAACAGTCTTCTCTTAGGTCCCAGTCCACCATGCTTCATTGTCTGTCCCTGCTTCATAGGCTGCTCTTTTCCATTTTGTAGGATGCCTCTTCTGTTCTGAACACCAGGTGGTAGAGTGACCATAGTGCTCTTATCTAAAACAGCACCCACTCCCCAGAGTTCTTCTCTAGTCCCATAGCTTACTTCCCCCCTTATAATAATGATGTTCTGGTCACCAGCCCTGACCTAGCACTTGAACTCGAGATGTTCTTATTCTGACAGCCATGGAGCATTTGTTAGTATCCTCTAAAATGTCTCCCCCATCCCTCCCTAGTGAAAATAACTACTAATAACTACCCCCACTGAAACCCATTATCAAGTCAATTATCTAAGGGTAGTCTTGGCTATTTTTACTTTTTCTGGACTCCCCACATTCAATATATTGGCAAGACTACATTGCAGAATGATCTCAACACACAACCATGGATTTTAAATGGGCAGATGAAAATAAAACAAACAAGTATACACAACTGCTTTGTGCCGGGAAAGAAATTATGAGAAACTGTTCCTTAGAGTTCAAAGACACAAGCACAGTGTTCGTTCTAAGCATGTCTTTGGAATCTCTTGGGAGGAAATGAAACCTGTGATAAAGTCAGCTGCTCAGATTCAGAGCAAGAGTCCTCACTTCTCAGATTTGATGACTTCCCCTTAAGTTACTGGCATGGTTGGCTTTGTGCTGCTATTTTGAGATATCTGATTTCTCTTCTGTTAATCAGATCATGGAAGTCCTGGCTGGCATGTTGCACTTTTAAATCATTGCTCTTCAAAGATAACAAACCGCTAAACTTCTGTAATATATTGGTTGTCAGACACTGACTTGTAACTGACTACTGGAGTGTAAATCTGAAGGCAGGGAGAAAGCAAATTGAACTAGCCTTCTATTCAAAAGAAAACATCACCTGGGCCGTATGGAAGCTGAAAGCATGTGAACCACAGCAAACTGTTGCTGGTGACAATCTCTAAGAGAAGAATAAATAAGAAGTAAGTTGGGTTTTTTTTTCAATATATTATTTTGATCCAATTTTTATATTTGTTTTCCAAACCCAATTCAATTTAAAATGTAAACAATTAATGTTTTTAAGAATAAGAAACATTAATTCGCTTTCTTTCTGGTACACAAAGAGCATTAGTCCCTATAAAAATGCCTTGGATCATTACTTTTTCAATAAAAACGTGAGCCAGGGTTGACTCACATACTCATTAGCATCTTGGGTTTATTGATTGCTGTTCACATTCTTTCTAAGCTCTTTTGAATACAGAGAGAACTTACCAGATGTTAAATGTTCAAATCATTCACTCTAATAAAATTTCACCTAAAGCCCAACTCCACACACTGTGAGTCAATCCTGAGACAGTTAATCCTGACAAGGCCACCCTCAAAGATACCCAGGGGTCAATGAGGGCAATCTAGAAGGCAGAAACACAGCCTGTCTCCCTCCCATGAAATGTCTCATCTCAAACCCTCTCCTCTAAGAAATAAAACTCATCATTTCTGTTTCCATTTGCAGTACAATAAAGTTAATACAAATTTGAAGATAAACGATGCTGAAAGAAGCAAGTGGCTTCTGTCGAATCAGAAACTGTCAACACAAGTTGAAGACTGAAGAAGAGACAAGACATCCACATGTGTCCATGAAAGTCATGATTAAAGATGTCATGGGATCCAGGAGGAGAAAATTTCAGATGACTGTTGGACACTGGGGAAAGCTACTAAGCAACACTTGTTGTGGGTCCACTCAACAGGGAACAGAATGGTTTAAAAACTTGAGTTTGGGGAATGAATTATTATTATTATTATTATTATTATTATTATTAATTTGTAAACAAGGGAGTTTGTACCACTGCTTTCTATGGAAGTCATAGAAACTGTCACACAAACTGCCTGTGCTCAATTCCCAAACAAGTTACTGAAGTCTAAGAAAACAGTTGATAACTACATCTGTCCCATGGGACTCATATAAAGGCCATCCATAATAATAACTAACAGTAGTATTTACTGCACGATAGGCACTGCTAAGTACATTCAGAGTATCTGGGCTTAGTCCCCAGAAGAGTTATGAAAGAGATAATATTGTTATCCACATGTGGAAGAGGAAACTGAGTGTCAGAAATATAACCCCAAGAGCAGAAGCATCAGCCTCACATGAGAGCCTGTTAGAAATACAGGTTCTCAAGTCCCATCTCCTGTTACTGAAGTCGAATCTGCTTTCAGTAATATTGACTGATTTCTATAAATATTAAAGAATCTAAAGCAACTGAGACCAACTGGTTGGGAGTAATAGAAGGATATGTTGATGCTTCCAGCCTCACTTTCTAGCCGTTGTGTTTTCTTGCCTCTTTGCATTAAGGAATATGTGTCAAGTGTCTAATGTATAATATGTATCATCATATTTTGGTGATGCTTTATTAGTAGCTCTACATTCAAAATGAACTTTCAAAAAGCTGACCTTACTGTCACCAAACACAGCAGATAGGAATCTGAATCAGAGACTTAGAGAATAATAAGACTAAAATGGGACAGAGGGACTTAAGAAATCAGGTCTCATTTCTGTGGAAATTGACAGTGAGAGATATTGAGTAATTTGACTAAGGTAAATCAGTAAATTGTAGGTGTAATAAGCACTGGAGCTTGAACATTGTAGGTAGATCAGTCTGTGTTCATGCAATTTCTGGGTTCTTTATTCTATGCTACTGCACAGAACAAAAAAAAGACTGTTGGATAAGTATGCAATTAGCAGATGCCCATGGTTTCATATTACTGTTTAAAGTGCTCTGTCAACCATGGAGGCTACTTATTATGTCTATGAATATAAAATATCCTAAAAATGAGCTTCTTCATAAACCAATTGCTTACTGCTCAATAGCAGATGTGTTTCATAGGCGTTTCCTGACATTTGACCAGAGCATTGATGCAAAATTGATGTTGTGTAACACTGTAAACTTTGAGCAATAGTGTAACACTCCCTCTCCCGACCAAGAATCTTTCTATGCAACATTAATCCTTACCATTCTATCCATCTTCATAGATAGCATTTTAAAGGAAGCCAATGCTGTCATCTTTTATAAATGACATCATATTCCCCTCATAAATATTTGTCTTCTGATTAGTTAAGCCAAGTTTTAATTCCAGTCCGTGATCTGCACACTATTAGTCCTTTTACTTCTGTGAAAGTAGACATCTTCTCCTGACTGTCCATTTCCCCTTCTATATCTACATTCTTTCACGATGCTCAGTCACGCAAAGTAGCACTGTACTGCATTTGAACTGTTCAGATATATTTTTGCCAAAACCATTTTCATTAACAAGTATTGTTGAAGATGAACAAGATACTCATCTTTTTGTAATTAATTTTTGAAGTGAGCATACAAAGTAATGGGCTCTGTTATGGCATTTACACACACACACACACACACACACACACACACAGAGTGATGAGAGAGAACAAATACTGGCGAGGTTGTAGAGAAAGAGGAACCTTCATTCATTATTGGTGGAAATGTAATTGGTGCAACCACTCTAGAAATCGATTTGTAGAATACTCGAAAAAACAAAAATAAATCTACAATATAATTCCAGTATACCACTTCTTGGCATATTCCCAAAGGGGTCAGTACCCTACTCTAGAGATACTTGCTCACCCACGTTTATCACCACCTTATTTCCAATAGCCAGGAAACAGAACAAACTAGATGACCTTCAACAAATGAATCAACAATGAAAATGGTTACATATGTACAATAGAACACTATTCAGCTATAAAGAAAAAAAAGAAATTTGCACACAGACATAGAAAACATCATATCCAGTGAGAAAACTCAGACACAGAGAGACAAATACAACATGTTCTCTTTCATCTGTGATTCTTAGCTCCAGATCTTCTGATATAGTAGCTACCAGTCCTAATTAAGAAATGTCTTTTTACAGCAAATGGAGATCATTGCAAAAAATCACAACTGGACACAATGCAAAGGTCAATGGATCATGGAGATTCCAGCGCAACCAATACATCTATGTCACAGCTGCTATAGCTATGGCTCAGTAAACATCACAGAAAGAAGGGCAGAAAGATTGTAAGACCCTGAATACCAGGAAGCCTGCTGTGACACAGTCTTTTCTAGAAATAGTTCCATAAACAATGTCTGAGCAATGGCAATATCAATAGAAATGCTAACATGGAAGGCGGAAAACTCTTGGGACCCCACCCTTAAACAAAGAACTGTAGGTAACCAATGACTGCTGGTGGACAGGGAATTAGCCTGCCTCAGGGATGAGACCTGCATTATTAGTTATACATTGTGAAGCAGTCAACCCTGAAATCACATATACACAAAAAACAGATTCGGCAGGTTGTATTTATAGGTTTGTGCATACGCATGCGTGTATGTGTGTGCATGTAATAACAAGCAAAGAAAAAAGCTATCAATTTGAGAGTGGAGGATCAATTTGAGGGAGGGGCTGGAGAAAGAAAAAGGAAGGGGAAAGTGTTGTTCCTTATTTAAGATGTATTAGAAATGAGTAAAAGTTTAAAAATCAGAGTTATTTCCATTGGAAAAATGTGCCTAAAGGCATAACTGTTTCATTGTTGTAAAAGACGGACCAAAACTAAGGTAAAAATAAGCTATAAATTTTAGAAAGACTAGCATTGTTTTCATGTATTATGCTCCTTTCTTCCCAAATGAGTTAATCTATTTAAAAATTGTAATGATCCAATTATCTGAAAATCCACAGGTCTAAGTATGTTAAACAGTTTTGGATGTTGGCCATGTAGGAGATTAAACTCTGAGCCTCACTCAAACTAGGTAAGCCTTTACCACTGAGCTACATCCCCAACTCTTGAAGGGAATTGTAAAGGATTAATCTTTAAGCTATTGATCTGATTTTACTTCCTGGATGCACATTCTAAAATTATACATTCAGCTTCAAGAGACTAAGTTTTTCTCCACAAGAAATTGGATATATGCTCTATTATTTCCTATTCATATGATGAAGCTGTATGGCAAAACTTTAGTTCTTATCCTCTTGTACATTGTCTGTTTTTATGTTCAAAGGGGAAATGGGATTCTTTGTTAAAGGCTTTTTGAGTCTTCTGAGAAAAACTCATCATAAATAGAACCATACATTCAGCAATTACAGATATCCATTTACTTGTTCACTTAGCAGAACACAGTCTAAGTCACAGAATAAAAAGATATGCAGAAATGATACACAGAAGAACTTTTGTCTAACTTGTCTTATTTTCTAGTGGCAAAGACAGACATTGCACAAAAGTCCAAGTGAGGTATGGTCCCATAATAAAAGTGTGTGCTGGGTGACCATAAAGAAAGCAGATGTTCAATGCCCTTTGAAATGTGCATTCAGAAGTGTTTACATACAATCATGTTCTACTGCTAAGGACAGTTTTTTAAGTGACTAAGTTAAAACAGAAACTCCTTAACAAGTCAAAACACATAAACAGCTATTTGCCATGGCATTGTACTAGCATGAAACTCCTCGAGTTCCCATGGTGTTACCCACATTCAGTTAACCCTATTGAAAGCTAGGCAACTGAGTACAGCCTGGAGCAGAAGTCTCAGCTCTCTGGCAAGACACACTGTAAAACTGTTTTCAGGCTCTATGGAGGCTTCATGAACAACAGTAACAGTATGAACTGAGACCCAGTAACCAATAAACCAACATTCAGAGATCAAGAATGCAGCTGCTCTTATTTAAACATGGACTTTGGCCAGAGGATAAGTCTAGAGAATGATATTCACTTCAGTGAGAATTGCAGATGCAGACTTCAGGCACAAATTACAGAATAAAATTACTGTACATCATTTAAAAAAAAATAACTGATTGGCCATCAGTCATTTCAGCTTCAAATGCAGGGTCAGTCGTATTCTGATTTATACTGGGAGACATACAACAATCCAAAGGAACTAGTTATGATCTAGCTGACAAATTATATGTGGCCGTGCTATCCAAAGTTACTCTTATAAAAGTCAAAATGCAATCATAAGTAATTATTAGACTATTCTTTTTCCTGACAGTAATTGCCTCAAGATACTTTACACTCTATGAGATCACAGACAATCACTACCTTATCCACCACTTTATTTCCAAAGCCAAGTGCCTAGTAATGAATGTGTCTTAGATAGACGAGTAAAGGAATAAACAATGGACATGTACATTGTTTTTACAAATTGAGTAGAGCCTAAATTGAGCTTAGTATAAATACACACAAAGAATGGAGAGACATTGAAGGGATTGGGTAGTAGGGAAATAATAGTTAGTATCTTTAATATAATCTATAAGAATGATTATATATAAAGAAGCAAACCAATTATACCCAAATGTACAAGTTAAACTACATGCTTGATTTATCAACTAAGCTGCAACTCCTGAACCCACCCACCTCCGATTCAGAGCTGTTATTCTCTGATGGTCTTCTCAATGCTGCTGTGATTCCCATCATGCCCCCTACCAATTCCTGACAATGAAATTTCAGTCCTAGCTCTTCTTTCCATACAATGTGGTAGAGCACTCTGAACTACAGCCTTTCACTAGAGGCTTTGAAAACAGCAGGAGTACAATCCACACTGGAGCCTATCCTGTTACAATAGCTGGCCCCACATGGGAAGGTTGAAGTCTACTAGTATGGAAACATCTTTCCTGGTATCTCTACAATCTATAAGAAAGCGTTCTACCAAGTCCTAGCACCATGGTTAGGCTGTTAAGTTGCCCAGTGTCTGCCTGTCTTCTCCTAAAGTCATGATAAGCTAAATGACCTGAAGGAACAATGGGAATCATCTGGCCACATGCA